TTCTTGTGGGCTCCTGCCGAGACGTTTTACTTCGAATTTTGTATTAAATTCTATTACAGTTAAAAAATGTGAAATTTCAAATACATTTCTAACAAAAATGACTTACATCATTTGAAAGCCTGCACAAAACTACATACAAGGCATTTAAACGGTTACCAGGGTTTTTCAAGTTCTTCTTGAGTTATGAGCTGTTGAAAGCGTGTTTTCGGACTAATATTTCAGACTAATGTTTTGGCTTATTTTTCACACTTGGAACAGCAATAACTCGAAAACCATTTGAAAATCCCAGCTAACAATTTAAATGTCCTATATGTCGTTTTTTGCAAGGCTTTCTATTGATGCAAGTCAAATATTTGTATTATAAATGTATCCGCAATTTCACATTTTTTAACTGTAAAATAGTTTAATACAAAATTCGAAGAAAAACATGTCGGCAAGAGCCTACAAGATATTTTAACGCCGCCGACATACAGAAATGTACTTACTAGCCTTCAGGGCACAAGATGAAAGGGAAATGGAATTGCCCCTCGATATGGGAAGTTTTTTCCTTCTATCTGCCTTGACTATTATCAATGTTATATAATACATCAATCGTGCATTGCGTCCTAACTGAAATGCCATGGATCTTTTTATATCCATTACCTAGAATAAATTGATATAAATACATAGTTTTTTGGTCAAAATTATAAACTCGTGGAACAATTTGCCAAGCCACGTTATGGAAGCTGATAGCTTGCCACAATTTAAAAGTAAACTGAAAAAACATATGGATATATACTCGATAGATTTTTTGTACAATATATGTATTAATGACTTGTAAGATGAAAGCTAGATTTTAAATTAGAGATTTTCCCCGAGCCAATGGCGCGGGAGCGCCGTTCCGGGCGCAAGACCGTGGCGAGGGTACTAATTCCGCCCGGCTATTTACACCGGGGGAAAGGAAAGCATTAGCGAAGTCTAAAGTTCATCAACCATGGCGGGCGTGGGTCACTGTGCGTGGGTGGTCATCTCACTGATCTCAAAATATGGCTGTTTACCAGGAATGAAGAAGACAAAAATATAAAAATACATGTAAGAAAGCCTGGAAAATCGTTTCACATAACAAATTTTAAAACTTTTTTCATTTTTTAAACGTAAACATTTATAAGAAATGATTTAATGAAAAATCCTAAAGTATAGGGCAAGTTTGCTTCAATTGTTTATGTGTCACTTTGTATTATTAAATAAATATAGACTTTGCTCTTGTTGTTCAAGTCTTTCCTGTGCATTGTATGCGAAAGTTTCTTACTTTTGTAGACGTTCATGATAAAAAGGAAAGCAAATTATGTTCATAAGCGTCCTGTACGAATTAAATTTATTTCATTTCAAAGTGCGAGTAATAAGTTGAAGCTCGAGTTGAAGAGTTTATTAGCTTAATATCGGCAAAAAGCAGTTAATTTCTATTCACATTTAAAAACGGTTTTACATAGAGTTTCGTTTTGAATTTTACATTAAAATAAAGCCCATAGAAAGCAAAATTCCATCATGCAGGGTACCTTAAATTCTTTGTTCGATTGACTGCATACGTCATAAATGAAGAAAATCTATAGGTCGAAATCTGAATCTTGCAACAAGGACATACACTCTACACAAATTGTTCATGTATATGTATAGGTACCTAAAAATTGTACTGTATAGAGAGTTAAAATATTTGAACAGTTTCAAAAAGGATATAATTTCTAATATATAATCCTTTCAACGACAAAGAAATAATGAAAAACTTGAAACAAGAGGTACGAAAACAATTTGGAACGTATATTAAAGCCTTTCGAGACTTGAGGAAAACAACTTGCGACTCAAAATAAGTTTGATCTGCCATCAGTACATTTTTCTAACAAGCATCAATCTCCCCACAGAGGACGCTTAGAACACACACTTTTATAACACGTCCAATATATCGCTTAATTGGAAACGATTGAAGATTGGAAACGGAAAAAAGATAAACAGAATACGCATATATTTCGTACGACAGACATGGTCTGGATGTACAAGGATGCATATGAGATATCAGATAAGATCAAAATCACGTGTACGGCAAAACGTTTGCTTGCACGTAGAACTGGAACACCATGGTTTATACAACAAGCTGCATTAAAGTTATTGCAACATCTGTTACCACCAATGAAATACTCGACTTAAATTGAAGTAACTATATGTACAAAGTACAAAGAAAACTATAGTCACATGCTTATACCTATGAGCAAATTGACTTATTGACGCATGCAACTGTTTGTACAAGAGTATTCGTCAATTTCATTAGAAATCTGCAGCATAATTCAAGAAAATACAGGTAACAGAATATTACTACATCTAACCAAGAAAAGACACATACGAAAAACACATAGATCAGAACTTTCTGCGTGACTAAAATAAGAAACTGCTGTATTTTTGCAGAAGTTGGATGCAAATTGTGAGTATACTTAACCAGAAGCAGAAATACACCAAGGAAATTCACTTTGGAATGAATAGACGCATTATATTTAAAGAACAAATCACAAGGATTTGAATAGAGAAAAATGTTCAATGGTACTTTAGGTCTTAGAATCTAATAATTCAACAATGATTTCTTGTTGAAAAAGAAACTGATTCAGATAAGAATATAGCCAGGTTCGCCAAGTGTTGGCAAGGAACCTTTACTATTGTGGCAACAATGGTGTTCCAACATGGTCAATAATTGTATTTTTGCAGAAGTTGGACGCAAATTGTGAGTACACTTAACCAGAAGGAGAAATATACGAAGGAATGAATTTGGAATGATTATATAGACAGATTATATAGACACATTATATGTTCAAAGAACAAATCACAAGGATTTGAATAGAGAAAAATGTTCAATGGTACTTTAGGTCTTAGAATCAAATAATTGAATAATGATTTCTTGTTGGAAAATAAACTTATTTACATAAGAAAAGTTCGCCAAGTTTTGGCAAGAAACCTTTAGTATTGTTGTCATGGCAACAATGGTGTTCTAACATGGTCAATAATTGTATTTTTGCAGCAGTTGGACGCAAATTAATTTACTCAACGAATAAATCTAATTTCATGCAGGTAAAGTTTAGAGGGTTGAAAGGTCAGATAAAACGATCTACGATATGGAAAAACAAAAGGCATTTTCCATACGCAAACGTAGGAACAGAATAAGTAGAAAAGATGACTCGTAACAAACAAACAAGAATACCTATAGAGCATAAATGTATATACACGACTTATTTTACAGTACGTAAATTTTAGAACTACAGTGGAGTTGCTGATATGAATTATTGTTACTCAGGGTTATCATATACTTGTGGAAAATGTGGATAAACAAAACGTGGATATACGAAAGAAAATTATTACATAGAGAGTTGTATCACATGCATATTATCCAGAAAACTTGGTCTGACAATATGTCAGCCCAACCCATGAAACGTATTTACAAATGAATATTAGTCAAGCAATTTCGTAAATTTATGGCATAAATTACGTGTAAACGTAACATTTAGTAATATATCCTAATTGTTATATAATGTATTTTAACTACTAAATTGTTATATATGGCCAAACACCTCATTTATTTGGACCTGCCTTTCAAAACATCGAACGATAACTGCAACAGTATCAAATAATTCCTGCTATCGTTCCAAGTATTATATAAGATGAAAATGACATAGAGTATGTATACCATATAGATGTAAGGGCGGTGAAGATAAATGTCAGGTATTAAACCATATTTCTGCCAATAAAATCAATATGAATACATGCAGCAACTATAAATATTTAAAATACTGCTGAATAAAACTTTAGATCTGCTGTATATGTTTGGCTTGCCTGTTTCATAACTTCAGTTTAGAGATGGATCTAGCTTTATACAAATTTATTGCTTGTTTTGCATGTCTTTAATCATTTGCCTTGTTGGTGCTCATATAAATCTCAACTTACATCTTGGATATAACACAAGAAAAAAAGATACAGTAAATCAAGGCTTCTAAAAATCGCACGAAATTGCATAGGATATGGTTTTGAGCAGGCCATTAAAAACTCGTACAATTTTGGAAGTTTTGAACAGGAATTTTTCTCTTATTTAAATGATAGACTATAATTTTGAATTTAGCCCTTTGGCACTTTTATAATTCCACTTTTACTAATTTTCATGTATATATGATGTTATTCAATTAATCTTAGCTGAGATCCTTTTTGAAAATCATTGTCAAATGAAAAAGTTTCCTCAATAAATATCATTATATTACTACTAAATCTCATATAGCTAGAATCACTTATGTTTTGCTATAGCGTGAATGAAGTACTACTTAATATCTCAAACGTGAGGCCACAGTGTAAGTATTGTTTTACATGAAGGTTTAGTTAGATAAATCATTATTAGCAAGCAGCAGATTTGGCAGTCTTTAGGTATAGAAAGAAAAATTGGAAAGAAATAGAAATTGTGTGTCTTAAATGCAATTCACGATGTAGGGACACCATATTAAGATGACTAAAACATAGTCGAAAGCTGGAAAATATTGTAATGTTCATTTCGGAGTTACAGACTTCCGTTAATCTACCTGTATCTAATCAGCTCCCGGCCAATCATTAATATATTCAATTGTGGAAAAAACTAAATAAATTAGCAATTAATAGGCGCATCGTATATAGCATTTAGATCAGTTATCCGGCAAATTTTGTAGGGTGGTATTCTGCGCAAATGGAAAATTATTTCTAGGCAACATTCGCGTGCAAAGTTACCAAGGAAACGCATTACGAACTCCTAAAAACGTAAAGTTAAAGACCACACACACACACACACACTTACCGGATTGTAGCCATATTGCGATTGTTGGCTTGATTTAGGCGAGCCACGTGAAACTTCACTGACAGGTGAACTTGACTTTCCACCACTTTGATAAGGACTTCCATAAGGACTGCGAGAATCAGCCTACAAGTGGGCAGTATAAAGACGTGAGTTTTCGTAACAATATTGCACGGATACTGGTATGCATGCACCTTGTTTCCAATTCAAGGGGAATATCGTCGCAGTTTTAATTAGGTGAAATAATTCTGTAAATATGACGAAGTAAAACTATAGACATGCAAGTAAAATTCTGGAGTTAAATTCCTGATACGTTTATATACTGTAAACACCTTTTTGCAACGAAATAATACAATATGCACTGATAAATGACTAAAAAAATATTAGAAACTAAAATTATGATATGCTGAAAAAGTGATAAATCATATATTACCTGGCTAGTGGTCGTGCGTTGATCACTTCCATAATCTAAAAAAAAAAACATATCTAAGATTGTTGCACAAAAAAACCCTACTGTACAGTATCTCCAATTTGCATTGCAAACAAGAAATAGTACTTATTTTCTGTACGATATTTGTGTTCACAACTAGAATAACTGCAGGTCTACCTTGTTTACTGGCGGGTTTTGCAACTAACAGTTTCTGTAAAATGTTTGCTTCAACGGATTGCTTTGGTGGAGGCGGCATCAGCGATGAAGACGGACCATCATTTCGTGATGTTGTATTGGCCTAGATTTAATAAATAAATAAAACAAAACAAGGCTTAAAATCATCCCATCAGTGCATCACATCAATGTCGAATCCTGTTTGTCAGTATAGTTTCCTCCCAGAGACCTAGATAATTGTTAACGACATGGACTAGTTAGCAAAAAAGCGTCATGGTTTGGATTTCAAAAATGATTTATGGGGAAGGCTTTAGAGCACGACTGAAAAACGTCAGGAATACAGAAAGACGAAAACTATATAACGAGAAAATGAAGTACTATACTCACTGGCTTTGAGTGTCGGTCATACTGCTTCCTCTCATGCTCATAAGAGCCAACAGCTTTTATAGACTTCTGTCCCTCCGCTGGCGATCTTTGGTGGTGGTGAGAGGGGCGATGATAGGAATTATGTGACGATGTTGTCGATTTCTCTTGACGTTGTACTACTGGTCGCTGTGTTTCTTGTTTTGACTGTGTTGACCTTGCTGGTGCAGATGATGGCTTGCTTGTCGTTGGATATGATTTCGATGCTGTGTTAGATTTTGATTGCCCTGGTGAAGGTTTGGATGCCACAGGTGAATGTCTGGCTGGTATAGAGGATGAATTGGCAATTGCGGGAGACAGCTTTATGGTAGCAGGCGACGGTTTGATGATTGTAGGTGACGGCTTAGTGGCCGCGGTTGACGGCTTAGTCGATGCGGGCGAAGGCTTAGTCGATGCGGGCGAAGGCTTAGTCCACGCGGGTGACGGCTTAGTCGATGCAGGTGACGGCTTAGTTGACGCGGGTGACGGCTTAGTTGACGCGGGTGACGGCTTAGTTGACGCGGGTGACGGCTTAGTCGATGCGAGTGACGGCTTAGTTGACGCGGATGACGGCTTAGTCCACGCAGGTGACGGCTTAGTCGATGCTGGTGACGGCTTGGTCCACGCCGGTGACGGCTTAGTCGATGCAGGTGATGGCTTAGTCGATGCAGGTGATGGCTTAGTTGACGCGGGTGACGGCTTAGTCGACGTGGGTGATGGCTTCGTCGACGCGGGTGACGGCTTAGTCGACGCGGGCGAAGGCTTAGTCCACGCGGGTGACAGCTTAGTCGATGCAGGTGACGGCTTAGTTGACGCGGGTGACGGCTTAGTCGACGCGGGTGATGGCTTAGTCGACGCGGGTGATGGCTTAGTCGACGCGGGTGACGATTTAGTCGACGCAGGTGACGGCTTAGTTGACGCAGGTGACGGCTTAGTTGACGCGGACGACGACTTGGTTTGTGCAGATGACTTGCTTACTACTGGTGACGGTTTTGTTGCCAACGGTTTTGATGGTCCTGACTTTTGTGGGGTTTGCTTAGGCACTTCTTGTTCAGATGTCTTCTGATTTTCAGATTCTTTCATTCCCTTTGCAGCTTCTACAAGGTCCTCCAAGGAAATTGCCTTTGAATCTCCTGATTTCTAATAAAAACACCAGGATTCAGTTTAAACTTTTTGGGGACGGCATATTATTTGATTAACTGACAGAGCTAAATGAATGTATGTAATGCAGCCCTACATCTTGAGAAAAATGTTTGAAGCTCTTATATGAACCACATATCATCAATAATTAATGACCAAATAGGGATATGGTGACACACGATGGATGGTGAAGTAGATCTAGAGAACGAGGTGCCATTTCTAACATTAAATCTCACTAATCCCCAGCTTCGTCTAGGACCGTGCTTCACCTTGGCTTAGCAAAAACTGCTCGGGTTTTATAACAAACGTACTTGCAGGGAGGTGAGTCCGGGATTGGACGCACCAAGGGTGGCTGGAAGTTTCCCGAACTTACCGAGCGAAGGTTTTATCCCATACACCGAGCCATACACACATTTGTAGCTCTTCGCGATATATTCGTCGATGTTTTGTGAACATTTTCCCGGCCAAAAAAATCACTGGGCAAGAAAATACTTCTTTAGCTACGTCTACATTACCTTTACTGCATTTTTTCTTTGGTTTTTCTTCAGTCTCAGTATGTTAGTCACCGAAAAAAGTTCTTTAAAGTTTAGGTTTATCGGCTAAATCTTGTCCGCCATATTTGTTATTGTTAATATTGCAACGTAAGCAGTTTAGCGGGTGAGTTCGGGCGAAAAGCAGGTGAGTTCGGGCGAAAAGCAGGTGAGTTCGGCAAAAAGCAGGTGAGCTCGACGACAAGCTCACCTGCTCTAAACCAATCAGAAAGCCGCTTTTAACACAGGTATGGGATAAGAAATCAAGTCCAATCTTATTTTCGAATTTGTCTTTATACAATGCTATCCTTACCTCAGCCTGTTTTTGTTTTCTCATTAGCTCCTGAAACTGTTGGAACTGTTTAAACTGCTCTGCGTCCATAAAAACTAAAACGAATATGAATGTGGAATCAGGTTAAAAATCTTATGGACACGCACACATGATAACCCCTTCCCTTTCCCCAAACCAATGCTGAATGTAATTTTTATCAAATAAAACGTGTACGTGACAGGGGAACCAGCACACGAGTGACGCAACAGACGCTTCCGGATAGTCCTGTCCTTGGAGCCTCGTTTTCGTGATAGAGATATCAGTTCTAGAACCCTTTATCTTGTTACTGATGACCTAATTACTTCAAGGTCTTATATGTTGTCTAGTATAACTGCATGATTTCGTAAATGTGTCACCTGTATTCCTGTAACAAGATAAAAGGCTCAAAACCTAACCCAATATCGCAAATCGTTTTTCGGAAGAGTGTATTGAATAATGTAAATATTTAAATATATGTATAGCAACACCAGTTCCTATAACAATTTATATATACATTTACTTCCCATATATAAGAAATTAACGACGCACGTTTTAACGCGACTTAAATGAACGAGACATTAACAACATTTGTTGGTCTTTTAAAACACACACTGAATTCATGTAAATCAATGGAAATTTTCAAATTCGGTTCAATAAAGTGCATCGTTAAGTTGCTATAAATTACTTCACGTATAACTACTGTACCTTTCACTCCATCATCCGAAGGCTGAGTCGCTGCCGCAGCACTTTCACCGAGTTTCTGAGGCACAGCCAGTGAATCAGGAGTCGAGGCCTTAGCCTGTTGAATGAAATAAAGCAATGATTGGTAGGTTCCGAAAAGCACAGTAAAATGCCAAAATTCCTACAGTACTGTATATTTATTATTACTCCTGAGGAAAAGGATGAGTATAGTGCGATAGAGGAGTATAGTGCGATAAAGGAGTATAGTGAGATAAAGGGGTACAGTGGGATACAGTGACGGGGAGTAAAGTAATTGAAGTAAAATGACATTTAGTGTCATTTACTGAATCTAACGCGAGTAGCCTGACGTAAGTAGGCCAACGTGAATTTCTACCATGATTTAAGGTCATATATCAGATGTTTTGCGCTTTACTTGTTTGTTGACTTCACAGTATACAAACATCAGTCAATAGGTATGCACATGAAAAATAAAGTAGGAAAGAAAGAAGCACGTAAGGAAGGCAAGGAAGTATTAGGTGCAAGGTGTATAACTGCAACACCATTTAGGGTGCATGCAGTAACTTTTCAACACAAAGTTTCAATTCAAACGACCAAATTTCGTTTCATACATACTGTACTATAAAACAGCGGGAGAGAATAATTTTCCATATAAATTTACTCTGAAGTCAGATTACCTTTTCTTCCTCTTTGGGTTGTGCATTTACAACTTTTTTCACTTTAGGTTGTTCACTCACAGTCACTTTTGACGTAACAGGCTCACTTGCAGTCTCTTTTGCTTTAGGGATCTCTTTTGTCACCTTTTGGTCCGTAACTTGACCTTGCTTATCGTCTTTTTTGACACCTTCTTTAGCTTCTCCCAGCATTTTAGTTACTTCCTCTTTAACTTTATTCGCCAATTCGTTCGCTTTATCTGGAGTCTTTTTTGCAGCGTTAGGCCTGGGTTTTAGTGTTATTACACCACTTCTGTTGTTAGGTCGGACTTTTCTGACTCCTTGCCCAGGCTTAAAAATTGAACAACAACAAAACAACTGTATCAGGAAAGGCACAATGCAAGAACGAAAAGACAATTTAACTCTACATATGGTGGAAATGCTAGCTATAATTTACGCAAGAAACACAGCACTTTTTGCAACCACAATCAAACTATCGAAAATTTTGTTTTCAACGATATTTAGCATGTTACACAAACTTCAAAACTCATTAAACACAAAGAAAAATCATAAGCGTGTCGTATCTTTATATGTGATAGAGATTTCGAGTTCGGTCTGATAATTCTTTATTCAATATTGAGAACTCATAGAGGTTGAAAGAAACAACGTGTTTTGTGGTCCTGAGACTGCCGTTATTACCCAAGTCAGAGCCGAGTCTGATGAAAAGACGCAGTTTCTTATTCTACATGTAAACTTACCTTTAAATTAGGATGCATGGTTCGAATGCCTGGGGTACGAATACGTGGTGCTCGAATGGTTGGCCCAGGTTGACTGACAGGAACTCTAAGAGGCGGACCAGGAAATGGACCTACATCAATTTAAGTTACAGTTCGTAAAACCTTAGCAAGAATATTGTAGTTACAGTACAATATCTATCTATAGCTTTATACGACTAGCTTCCTCTGTGGCAAGCACTTTCATACGAGCTTATAATCGTGTTTTATTAAAATAAAAACAAACTATATAATCAAGAAATTTCGATTGAATCTCAATCATTTTCACTGATTATTTTAACATTAATTACAATTTGCGGGTTAGTATTCAACATAGCATTCCCTCTAGCAACTTCTACATTGTCTACAACAAACTCTGGAGGGCAAATACAGTAATAAAGCAAGGTTTACACATACGGTGCGAAATTAAAACTGAGCGAAATATAATCCGTCCCAAAAGGTGCCATATTGTAATACGGGCGAAAAGTGATCCGCGTGTAAACGATTGGCGCCGTGCCAAAAATACTGATAGTTAGATATAGAAATTACTCTGTATGACATTCCATCGCCACTAGATTGGTCATTCCAGCTACATAAAGAAAATATCCTGTTTGACCTGCTAATCTTCTCATGGGATATTTCGAGTTCAGTTGCTTGGAAATTTTAAGTATCCAATATTCCAATGCCATTTCAACAATAAAAATCATCATTGAAATGTGATTTTGTTCCGTTTGGTTGTCCGCGAAATTAAATCGTCCTTAATTTAAGAATGAGGGAAAATTGGTAGCAAAGTAAACAGTGTAGACGTATCAAAATTGCCACGCGAATTTGAATTCAAGTAAGATAATTAAATATAAAATGTATATGAGACATATCTGACCTGGTGATCCTACAAGATTCAGACCCAACAAAGGTAATCTTGGTTGGTCAAGTAAGTTAAATATAAATTGTATAAGACATATCTAACCTGGACCCAACAAAGGTAATCTTGGTTGCACCACACCCATCGCTGGTCTTGGCATGCCAGGCATACCACCAATACCAAAGGGTAAACGTAAAGGTCCCTGGTAAAAATATAGCAAAAGCATGCAATGTGGCGTAGGAACCAGACACCATGTACAAATGTTCTCATTTTCCATTGTAACGATTTTTCATACAAAAGAATGGAACAGCAATGGAATATTATTTGCACTGATGATGATCAGGCTTGCGGATCTTACTGATAACGATCGGGTTTAAGAACTATGGCAAATATAATTTAATTATACGTGGTGTTTTCACAAAATAATAGACAACTTGCATGTTAGAATAATTTTTGATCTAGGCAAAAAAAGTAAATTCCCATAAAGAACTTATTAAAGTTAGCAAAATTGCAAAATTTGATTACGAAATGTTGTAAATACGGAAAATATATCCTTGCGAAGTTTGCATATTTTGTATATGTTTGTATCATTGAACTATAAGTAAACTGGAAGGCGAACTGCTATGACGAAGGCCGACGATTTGCTGAAGCCAAAATAGTTTTCCTGAGTTATGAGCAGAAATACTTGATCCCAAACGTTGGGCTATGGCCTATATATCAAACTGAAGCTATTAAATATTTTTATTCAGTGAGGATATTTCAAGACTTCAGCGAAAAGAAAAATATTTTAAAAATACAAAAACAACTGCTGTTCGACCAAAAAATGGTAAATTATCGGCAAGTAATAATAATTGTAGTTTTTAAATATTTCCCTTTTAGCTAAAGTCTTGAAATTTCTACATCAAATAGCGTTTTTCAATAGCTTCAGTTTCATTTCAGTTTTTCAATAGCTTCAGTCCCCCCCCCCAATAGACGGATTTTCATATTTTTTACTGAGGTGGTGCCAGAAATTCCAGGGGGGGGGTGAGCCGTGAGCAGGTGACTGAAGCAACACAATGTGTCACCAAACCCCAGTATTTAAAGGTCTATATTCTAGGGGTGGAGCAATAGAGCCACAAGGGGGAGTCTAGAGAGCAGAAAACAAAGTATACCTGGGAAAATGTTTTGAAGTTGTCATATCAATGGATTTAGCATGTCCGATTGTCTGTTGAGACTTGAGAGAGTTAAGGTTAAATAAATTTGTAAAAGTGTAAACCCAATAGGCCAATACGATATGCTTTTACTTTTATAAAGTCATTGACATTGTGTCGTTTGAATCCGAGTACAATTTATGATGCAACTCCGATGTAAATAATATTTGGGGCGTAAAGATTACAAACTCTATACAGGGGAGATAACAGAGTTTCAAAACTTTACAATTGCTCCAATAAACCAGTGAATGCAAGCGAGAAGCGATTAGTTTCAGAGTTTTGGACTATCTTTTTCTATTTGAGTGTGCCCCCCCCCCCCCTTCTGAGTTAGCCTTCCAGTTTACTTATAGTTCAATGGTTTGTATTACGTGCGGAAATTGACGATTCCCGATTATAGTGGTATCACTGATATTCAAGATGGCTTATTTTTTGTCCTGAACCATGTAAGGACTTTTATAAAAAGCTAGCCACTAGGGTCAGTTGCGCGATGGACCTGTATATGAGTTTGTATGCATTTCATTTAGGACAGATAATCTCAACTGTTTTCGGGTAAGTTGACCATGACGGTCAACATTGTAATGCTGCCCGAACCCCAATCCGGGACGAAACGTCCGAAACCGACCACACCCAAAAACGACGCTTTCGCCATAGTGCTATCTACCAAACCATACAAGCTTTGGCTATTCGGAAGTGCTTATATGGTTCAGAGATGGTGCTTTTAGGGGTGGTCATTGGTAAGTGTGAAATGCCTAGCACTGATATTTCACAAGAAAATTACCATGCAATACTCATAGTCAAACGTCAATTTGTGGCTTACAACTTCAGATAAACAGCAGTGGACCTACATTACCTTTTTTCATAAATCTTTTTGGTAGAAACATAATTGGTGCTTATTTAATTATATTATCACTGTTTTGGTGTAAAATGGTTAATATTTTGTGACCAAAATAATAATTTCAATAATTTGTCCAAATTCGGCGCCATTTTGTCATCCCGTTCGGTTGTGCACATTTCGGCCTCGTTCTTCTTCCATCGAAGCCTTACAAGAAGTGATAATGACAAATTTAACCCTTTGTTAAGTGTATTAAAATAAAAATACAATAAAAAAGGCGAAATGCAGCATTTTATCACCCTGTAAGATGTTGCTTACGAGTCTTTCAAAACATTCCGTACAAATCTCGCGTGGCAAAGTAACAGGCACCTGACAGGGGGGTGGAGACTTCAAAAATAAAAGCAAAGGCACGCAGAACGCAGTATAATGTAATAATGATAAAACCAACAATCAACATTTAATTTGTATTTTCGTATTACAGGTAATAGTATGTATTTATTTCTCGCTACAAGAAATAAAACAAACGTTTGTATGATTGTATTTAGTTTTTGTTTATTTCACGCAGCCTTCGTGAAAAAATTCAACCCCCCCCTGTCAGGTGCCTGTTACTTTGCCACACAAGATTTGAAAGACTCGTAAGCAACATCTTACAGGGTGATAAAATGCTGCATTTCGCCTTTTTTATTGTATTTTTATTTTAATACACTTAACAAAGGGTTAAATTTGTCATTATCACTTCTTATAAGGCTTCGATGGAAGAAAAACGAGCCCGAAATGTGCACAACCAAAAGTGATGACAAAATGGCGCCGAATTTGGACAAAGTTGAGATTTTACCTTGTCGATGGTTAAACAGGTAGGATGTACTTGAAACCCAGTTAAAACTTGTTTAAAATGTGCTTGATACCGTTATGTTTGAGCTGAATTGCATATTTGGAAGGATTTCAACGAGAACTGCGATAAACAGCGGAGTAAAGTGAAGAATTTGGCCAAATACGTCCATTTGCAGGAGGTAGACACATTTGAAATTATTATTTTGGTCACAAAATATTAGCCATTTTACACCAAAACAGTGATAATATAATTAAATAAGCACCAATTATGTTTCTATAAAAAAGATTTAGGAAAAAAGGTAATGTAGGTCCACTGCTGTTTATCTGAAGTTGTAAGCCACAAATTGACGTTTGACTATGAGTATTGCATGGTCATTTTCTTGTGAAATATCAGTGCTAGGCATTTCACACTTACCAATGACCACCCCTAAAAGCACCATCTCTGAACCATATAAGCACTTCAGAATAGCCAAAGCTTGTATGGTTTGGTAGATAGCACTATGGCGAAAGCGTCGTTTTTGGGTGTGGTCAGTTTCGGACGTTTCGTCCCGGATTGGGGTTCGGGCAGCGTTACCATGTTGACCGTCATGGTCAACTTGCCCTAAAACAGTTGAGATTATCTGTCCTAAATGAAATGCATACAATATATATATATATATATATATATATATATATATATATATATATATATATATATATATATATATATATATATATATATATATATATATATATACATATATATATATATATATATATATATAAATCATGGACGGATTTCGTGGGGGGTGCTACCCCCAATATTAGCTATAACCCCCCAAACAAAATGTCCACCCCTGAAAAAATTTTCAACCCCCTCACCATATTTGGCATAATAAAAAATAATTAAATAGTCCACTCCAACGTGCAGAGTGTTGATGATACAAAATAAACGTAGGAGTACACTCAAATAGAAAAAGACAGTGCAATACTCTGAAACTAATCACTCCTCGCTTGCATTCACTGGCTTATTGGAGCAATTGTAAAGTTTTGAAACTCTATTATCTCCCCTGAATAGAGTTTGCAGTGCCTTGTCATGTAACCTGAAATTCAGGCCCTAAATTAGGGCCTGAACTTCAGGTTACTTGTCATGCAAATAGCTTGCTTGCAAGGAACGTTTGGAATTTTTACGTACATTATTTTTAGTTTGTAATTATTTTAGGAAATAGACTTGCCTAGATTTAATCTTTACGCCCCAAATATTATTTACATCGGAGTTGTATGACAATGTCAATGACTTTATAAAAGTAAAAGCGTATTGTGTATTGGCCTATTGGGTTTACACTTTTACAGGTTCATTTAACTTTAACTCTCTCAAGTCTCAACAGGCAACCGGACATGCCAAAGCCATTGATATGACAAATCCATTGATATGACAACTTCAAAAACTTTTTTTTGAAGCTAGAAATCATATTTTTTTCACATTTTTCCAGGGATACTTTGTTTTCTGCTCTATAGACTCCCACTCGCGGCTCTAGTGCTCCACCCCTAGAATATAGACCTTACTGGGGTTTGGTGACACTTTGTGTTGCTTCAGTCACCTGCTCACGGCTCACCCCCCTAAAATTTCTGGCACCACCCCAGTAAAAAATATGAAAATCCGTCTATGCACTTTGCGCCAGGCCCACAGCTCAAAAGTGGCCCCTACAATTTCTTGATACAAGATTGATTAACTGAGAATATAAATCCTAGCTGCATTAGTGTTGGATATTAAATATGTAATATATTGTAAAACACCACTTTTCCCCTTTTGCAATTATGACATGTGGGCCCCCTTGGGAAGTTTTGGCCCGGGGTCGCACACACAATCCTCTCGACAGCCCTGTTAATTCCCACTCTGAACACATTGTTGTTTAGTATGCAGCTGTTAGTTAATGTGCAAATACCAACACATTTTGGTGGATTAGAAGGCAGAGCTGTTTACATTGGTATGTGAAATATCTTTTTTATACCATCGTTAAATCAGGAATTTGTTGTATGAAGGCTGGGCTGCACCATTTAATGGTCAACTTGTCTGAACAAATCACTACTCCAGAACAATGGAATGGAGCCCCCACACACAAAATTTTTCACGAAGTATTTTTACTAATTTAATCCTTAATTTTAACTTATTAAAGTACGTTTCTGGATGTTTGAACTCCATTAACAACCGTATCGAAGATTTTTCTACATAAATTGTATAATCTAAAAACTCAGAAAAACCATAGGCAGCCCAATGTTATGGTTGCCTGCCTGCGCGCGGGCGAGGCATTGTATAGTTGTATTATTTCAGGAAATAAATACAACTATACAATGCCTCGCCCGCGCGCAGGCAGGTAACCATAACATCGGGCTGCCTATGGAAAAACCATAGATATAGGAGACCTAGATTGCTGACTCTGCTCAACCGGCGTGACATATTTTGAAAATCCAAGATGGCGGCTCAACAGGGCAAAAATCATAGAACAACATAGGGAAAAACCATGTTTTTTGCATTTTGCGTCGTCCTACAGCTTCCGATCCCGTTATATCACTTTATTTCGGCAAGAACTAACTGGTGTGAAGGTTTTGGATGAAAATTTGTACAATCAGTACAATTTTATACCATGGTTAATACAAATTACGATTCAACCGGGCAAGATTGGGCAGGCCTGCAGTTTCGCGCGGTTTTCGTCTTTAGTTTCTTCCTGTGTATTCCTTCCGTCTTTTACGAGTTTTTCTCAAGTAATATTATATATTTCTAACTATTCCAAAAGCTATTACTGTTTATTTTGTTCTTTCATTGTTATTTCGACCAAAATACAGTATTTTCATCTGAAAATTCTAGGGCTTCTATTCCATCTGGGGTTTTTTTATCGAAAAGAATGCTTGAAAGTCGGCCAGAATCGTGTTCAGTGTATTACTACAAGACAGACGTGGGATGTTATTCGATTTTCCTTCCATAAGTAAGTCTATGAAACACACACACATCACATATTTGTACACTATAAGTCTATAACTTACATCATATAAACAGAATAATAATAGAATAAAAAGAATTTGTTTTGTAAATACTGTAATGACAACGTCACAACAAATGTAGTTTTGAGTTTGGCAGCTACAATATAAAACTATTTACAGTTTTAATAAAAGAATATTAGACCAAAAAAGAACTTCTTGTTTTGATGTCTGTGTTAGGAGAGTCTCTCTCTTTATATATGCATGTTGACAACAACTTTCCTTGTCCTGTTCAAAGTCAAAAATGTTTTAGTTTTGTTCACATCAGTGAACCAAAAATACATCTTTCCCTTTGCACTATTGGATTTCCTATAACCAATCCCAGCCTGCTAAAAAATGAAATGGGCAGACTCAATGCCAATCAAATATTCATTCTTGTGTGAGAAACACTTCACACCGGATGATTATACTTCACACCCGATGATTATATTAATCCATGGTGTTGCAAGGTGCCCTACTTTATTATTTTACTCTGTCTAACGCCAGACAATTTTACTCATCAAGAGGAGAGCAGTGGCACTTATGGGTTAACTGGCCTACCTGCAAATGTGTATAGTTAACCCATTGAGTCGTTTTGTGCCCTACTTAATTATTTTACTCTGGCTACGCCAGACAATTCTACTCGTAAGGGGAGAGTGCTGATGCTTGGGTCAGCTGTCTCAAGGGGAGAGTGTCCGAAGGGAAGAATGCCGACTGCAGAGAACAATCAATAAAATGCCAATCCAAGAAATATCTAAACGAAGATGCCGTCCCATCTATTTTTGATTATCAATGATGAATCAATCAGGTTTCTTGGAGAGAACTAGATACTAACTGTGAAGGTTTTTGATGCATACCAGACACATTAGGCAGTTTCTTCAAACTAGTTTCCATTGAAAACTTTCGTTGTCACTAGTTCTCTCTACAAACCTGATTGATTCATCACTTTTCACTGTCCAGGCCCTATAGACTTGAGATCCCTTGACATCTGCAGCAGCAAGGAGGTTGTCAAAGTCACACTAAACAGAGCATCAGAATTTTCGCACCAGCAGACCAAATAAATCAAGTAAAATAGTCTTTAACTTCAAAATACTTCACAGAATTATTCCTTGTTAAATATCCCAACCGAGATCCTCGAGAAAAAAAGCACCCAAAGAACCAAAACCTTTATTTTCTGCAACAAAATGTCTCGAACTGCTCAACCGACCATTGTGACGATTTCAGAAAACATTTAGCGATCGATTATTTCGTCTTTATTAAACTTAAATTGCACAAATATTCATCCAAAACCTTCACACCAGTTAGTTCTTTCCAAAATAAAGTGATATAACGGGATCGGAAGCTGTAGGACGACGCAAAATGCAAAAAACATGGTTTTTCCCTATCTCGCTCTATGATTTTTGCCCGGTTGAGCCGCCATTTTGAATGCTCATGAGTGTCAAGCGAGTGCATTATAGAAAACATTAGAGTCAGCAATCTAGGTCTCCTATATCTATGGGAAAAACCATAAATTTTCGCGCGGTTTTTTGCCGAGTTTCGTTTAGTTTGTTTCAAATTTTGGCAGTTAAACAATATTTGCTTATTTTATGTGCCTTAGATAATAGTTGTGTTGTCTAAGTTTTCTCTAGGATAAATATAAATGTCTTGAAAAAAGTAGAAATGAGAAAATATTAACGATTTATTTTTCGCATCCATTTTGTAAAAAAGGACTGGGGCTACCTGCAGAAAACACTCATAACCGGCTTCAAAGATGGCGGCGAACTTATCGTTCCAGTTTACTTATAGTTCAATGGTGCCCCCTCACTTTCGAGGTGTTTCCGCGGCCTCTGATGCCGAATGCAGTGAATAAAAATGAACTAAAAATAGTCGTTCCCAAGACACAATTTTTCAAAATGTATTTTCCTTTTATCTTAAATGTCATAGCAACATATTAAGGTTACCCAGCATGCCACTTTGTGACAAAAGAATGTTGGGATTAAGTATTATATCCAATATGCAATAAGGTGTAACGGACGAGTTTTGGATACAACGAAATTGAACTCAAAGAAACTACCGCTAAATGTTACCAAACATCGCAAGTTCTCTGGAGCTTGGGGTTGGCCTTTATGAGCCTCTAGGAAGAACAGTTTAGAACTGATGGAGCTATCCAGTATAAATAAAGTTAGTTTAGTTTAGGTTTCCTCCTGTAGTAACTAGTAACACTGGATATAAATAATAGATCTTTATTAGACCTCTAGGGAGAACAATTTAAAACTGATAGAGCCATTTCATATAAATACAGTTTGTTCAGTTTAGGTTTCCTCCTGTATAGTAACACTGGATCAATAAGAGATGATTCTTACTGAACCTCTATATAGGAAGAACAGTTTAGAACTGATAGAGCTATCCAGTATAAATAAAATTAGTTTAGTTTAAGTTTCCTCCTGTTGTAACACTGGATCAATAAGAGATGATCCTTACTGGATCTCTAGGGAGAACAGTTTAGAACTGATAGAGCTATCCAGTATAAATAAAATTAGTTTAGTTTAAGTTTCCTCCTGTTGTAACACTGGATCAATAAGAGATGATCCTTGCTGGATCTCTAGGGAGAACAGTTTAGAACTGATAGAGCTATCCAATATAAATAAAATTAGTTTAGTTTAAGTTTCCTCCTGTTGTAACACTGGATCAATATATAAGAGATGATCCTTACTGGACCTCTAGGGAGAACAGTTTAGAACTGATAGAGCTATCCAGTATAAATAAAATTAGTTTAGTTTAAGTTTCCTCCTGTTGTAACACTGGATCAATAAGAGATGATCCTTACTGGATCTCTAGGGAGAACAGTTTAGAACTGATAGAGCTATCCAGTATAAATAAAATTAGTTTAGTTTAAGTTTCCTCCTGTTGTAACACTGGATCAATAAGAGATGATCCTTACTGGACCTCTAGGGAGAACAGTTTAGAACTGATAGAGCTATCCAGTATAAATAAAATTAGTTTAGTTTAAGTTTCCTCCTGTTGTAACACTGGATCAATATATAAGAGATGATCCTTACTGGACCTCTAGGGAGAACAGTTTAGAACTGATAGAGCTATCCAGTATAAATAAAATTAGTTTAGTTTAAGTTTCCTCCTGTTGTAACACTGGATCAATATATAAGAGATGATCCTTACTGGACCTCTAGGGAGAACAGTTTAGAACTGATAGAGCTATCCAGTATAAATAAAATTAGTTTAGTTTAAGTTTCCTCCTGTTGTAACACTGGATCAATATATAAGAGATGATCCTTACTGGACCTCTAGGGAGAACAGTTTAGAACTGATAGAGCTATCCAGTATAAATAAAATTAGTTTAGTTTAAGTTTCCTCCTGTTGTAACACTGGATCAATATATAAGAGATATAAGAG